AGTGGAGTTGGAAGCAGTATCCATGCAAGTAATAGTAACGTCCCAAGGGCATGCACATACGAAGAATACATGAACTACAAACCCAGATCCTTCTATGGAAATGAATGAGTTATAGAGTTGACTCTTTAGATTGAAAATATAGAATCGATATTCCTCATGAGTTCCTGTGTTGAAAACTGTCGTGTTAAGTTTGCTACATGCACCTTTATGGACACATCCCTTACCTGGTAGAACAACTATACCAAGACCATGGGCATGACTCCTCTTATGCCACAACTTTAGAAACCCTAAAGATGATATTCATAGAAGTATATTGCCCTAGATATGAAATACATAAACTGGAACAAGAACTCTGGAGCTTAAGAATGAAGGGAATGAAGATTTTAACCTATACTCCCGATTCAATGATCTCGCAATTCTATTTCTGGGTTTTGTAAGCTCGAAAGACAGGAAGGTCGATAGGTACATAAGAGGTATGATCCCATAGATATGATAGATGGTTACATATTCCAAACCGAACACCTATGACCATGCCAAAAAGTTAGCCATCAGTCTAACAAATCAGTTAGTCTATCAACAAACATTAATCAAGGAAGAGGATGCCACAAGAGTTGAGGATAAAAAAGGAAATATGATGGTAGTTCCATGAGAAACTTAAGCCAATCTTCTTGGAAGAAGCAAGACACCAAGAAGCTTTATGATGCATCAACCTCTCCACATAAACAATACACAGTAAAACACCCAAAGTGTGGTCATTACAACCGTCATCACTTAGGTGAATGTTATACCTGCAAGAAGTGCAACAAAAGGAGGCATATTTCCAACTTTTGCAGAAACCCAACACCTATAATAGCGAACTAGGGTACCAGTGCAAGGAGAACTACTGGAACAGGCACTGGTCGAGGAAAAACTTGTTATAGGTGTGGTGAAGTCAGGCATTTCAAGAGGGATTTTCCAAAATTAAGGAACTCATAAGTGAAGCTCGAGATGAAATCCAGGAAGTCATGATTGAAGTTATGATTGAAGCAAGAGATGAAATCCAGAGAAGTTATGATTGAAGCAGAGAAGTTATGATTGAAGCAGAGAAGTTATGATTAAGGAACTCAAAATTAAGGAGCTCATAAGTCGAATCAGAGAAGTTATGATTGAAGCAAGAGATGAAATCCAGGAACCATCAATGATGACTGGTACATTTCTCATTAACAACTTATATGTTAAATTACTTTTTGATTGAGATATGCATAGTAGTTTTTTGAACCCTGAACTGAGACATATACTAAATCGCAAATCCAGTAGACTGGAGGAAACCTGTAGAGATGACTAGTGAACCGTCAGAATTATACTTACAAAATTATAATAAATTGTGTATTAACACATAACAAACACGATTGTTATGAAAATCTTATGTCTACGACTTTTGGAAGTATCGATGTCATTATCGGTATGAATCGATTTTCTCTGTGTCATGCTAAGTTATTGTGCCACAAAAACATTGTTCGATCCCCTTAACTAATAAAGGAACCCTGATTACTTACAGGGAAAAATCATGACGAAAACCTCAAACTCATATCTTACACGAAGGCTCAAAATTATCTACACAAGAAGCATTATGCTCTCTAGACACATATGGTAGATAAAAGGAGCAAGGAGATAAAAGATATACCTAAGGTATGCAACCTATCTTGATGTACTTTCTAAAGATCTACCCGAAATACCACCAGTTCGGCAAGTTGAGTTCCAAATCAAATTTGTCCCAGGAGCATCACTAGTAGCAAAGTCTCCTTATTGTTGGACTCCATAAGAGATACGAGAACTATCTAGTGAACTACAAAAACTTCTTGGCAAGGGTTTTATTAGAACAAGTTTCTGACCTTCAAGAGTATTAATTCTGTTTTTCAAGAAGAAGGAAAGGGCCCTTTCAAATTTGCATTGATTATTAGGAGATGAAAAAATTAACGATCAAGAATCATTACAAGCCCCCGATAATCGATGATCTGTTCGATCAGTTACAAGGATCCATCTATTACTCCAAGATAGATCTAAGATCGGGATATCATCAACTCATGATGTATGAAAGAGACATATTGAAGATCACATTTAGGACTCGATATGATCATTACAAATTCCTAGTTATGCCATTTGGATTGACCAATTCTCCAACAATATTTCCTATGAACCATGATTGCAAACCATACTTGGACGAATTCATGATCGTATTTATCGATGATATATTGATATATTCACGGACTAAGGAAGAACACGGCCAACATATTTGGTTAGTCCTTGAACTACTAAATTTGTGTGCTAGATTCTCTAAGTGTGAGTTTTGGATTAGAGAACTACACTTTCTATGACATGTGGTCGACAACTAAGGGATCCATCTTGACCCTTCCAAGCTTGAAGAAAGATAAGAATTGGGAAGCATCAAAGACACCTATAGAAGTGTACCAATTCTTAGGCCTTGTTGGCTATTATTAGAGATTCATTGAGAACTTTTGCAAGTTAGCCAAACCCCTCACAAAAAGACTCGATGTTCAAATAGGAAGAAAAGAAAGAGGCTGATTTCCAGAAGTTTGAACACATGTTGTGTAGTGCACCAACCATGTCCCTTTCGAAAAGAACAGATCACCTTTTCGTATACTACCACAGGTCACATCAAGGATTGTGGTGTGTATCAATGCAAAGATACAAGGTTATTTCCTACTCCTCGAGAGAATGTAAGGTGCACGAGAACAACTACACTTCTCATGACCTTGAGTTGGCGGAGGTAGTTTTAGTTTTAGGGATTTGGTGACACTACTTGTAGTATACAAAGTATACCATCTTTACTGATCACAAAGTTCTCCAACACATCTTCGAACTCGAAACGAGGCAAAGAAGATGGTAAGAAATCCCGAATGATCATGAATGTGTGATTCGTTATCATCCCGACAAGGCTAACATTATAGCAAATGCCATAAGCTAAAAAGAATGAGCCAAACCCCGTCGGGTATGAACATTAACAATGACTGTTTATTTAAACCTTACCGCACAGATTCAAGAAGCTCAAATCGAAGCTCTAAAAGAAGAGGACATCACGAGCGACGCTTTGCAGGGAATGCATAAGAAATTCAAGTTTAGGGATGACGGAACGCAATACTTTATGAACCAAATTTGGACGCCCCAGTTCAGTGACATCAGAAGCTCAGTCTTGAACGAAGCTCACCAGTCAAAGTATTTCGTACATCTGGTCTCTAACATCATGTACTTAGAACTGAACAAACTGTATTGGTGGCCTAGCATGAAAGCTAAAATTGGCACTTGTATGGGAAAATTCCCAACTTACTCTAAAGAGTTAATGCAAAACATCATAAGCCTCCGGATTTACTGTAACAATCGGAAATACCTGAGTGAATGTGGTAACAGATCTTAATTGACTTATTAACGAAACTACCCAATATGCATAGTGGTTTTGACACTAATTGGGTACTAGTCAAAAGACTGACAAAGTCTACCCACTTCTTGTCAATCGAAGAGACAAATAAAATGGAAAAGATGACCATGACTTATCTCAAGGAAATCGTCAAAACTGCATGAGGTATCGATTTTTGTCATCTATGATAGAGATAGTAGATTCACCTCACGACATTGGCAATCACAACAGAAATCCTTGGGGACTCACCTAAGTATAAACATAGCTTACCATTCTCAACGGTCAGAACTAGCCAGACCTTGGGAGATATGCTCTGAACCTGTGTGATAGGATTTGGGAGTGTCTCATAAACAACGGTTATCACGCCAACATTAAAGTTGCACTGTTTGAGGCTTTCTACAGACGAAAGTATTGATCCCCAAAAATGTTGAGCAATGGTTAAAGATACCTAACTAACCAGAGAACATGCATGTGATACATTTCTTACTGACCCAGAAATCACTCATCAGACCACATATAATATTGTGCAAACCAAGGAACGATTAAAGGCTGAAGACGAATGCTAGGTGAATTATGCGAACGTAAGACACAAACCTGTCGATTTCCAAGTCGGATACCTGTAATGCCCATGAATCTAGGCTAGATATTTAAAATATAAAATATAATACTTGTTTATGATTAAAATCCTAAATTTGGATAATTATTCGTCGTACGCGTTACGAGCCATAAATAACATATTAATTAGACGGTTATATAGAATGAATAATCTTAACTAGAGATGTAGTAGACGTAATGATGATCTCGTGGATATAAGGAGTGGTTAAATCCGACTTTGTATGGAGAAGTTATACTTCTTCGAAGTTTCGCGATTAACCCGACATAGCTATATGTGTCATAAAAACTGAATTAGATATTGATTGCTTATTAGTCTAAGTAATCAAAACGAAAGTTGTAGTAACCGTAAAAGCCAAAGCATGCATAAAAAGAACGCCAGAATCTAGACTACCATTATTATAATCGCTAAATTTATGAAACAAACACTAAGACTTAGTGATAATTATATCTAGGTCTTTCAAAAGAAAAAACTAAGGTGTTAAGCGAAATCTAATTTAACAGGTGAGTGCATAGTTACTTTTAACTTACACATAGATACAAGTATTCTAAATGATTAAATGTTGTGTGTGCTATTTGGCTATGTTAAAATATATGTGCAACATGATATGGTTATTACTTTATTAAACTATATATATTTATTTTATCATGCATAAAATGTTATTGGGAAGTGAAGGGTTGTGCGAAATAATAATGACAAGTTGTGACTATAGTACTATCGTACTACTGTGACCAGTCATCTAGGGGAGTATAGATGACAACCACTGACTATTCTAGACTATCATGTGGAACACTAGTAGGCTCATTACTTGTAGGTGTTAATGAATTATACGTTCATTCGTTTTACTCCATCCCTCACATGGTTGCCTTATTGACACATATTACTAACAAAATCCCCAAAGCAGTATTGTCTACTCTTCTCTCACCACCAAGGACTTTTATAACCTTGAAAACCTCTTCCAGGATACTTAGTGGAATGAAGATTCAATCAATAGATAATGTGTTTGCAAAGGATTCGGATGAGCATGTCTTTGAATCCATCGGCGTCATGCCTAACAATTTTTCTAAGCTTCAACCTCCACCGAATACACCTACATCTCAGAAGCTTCCCACAAAACCAGCAACATCTTCATCAAACTCCACGAATCTTCCTTCCCATGGAAATAAGTCCATATCTAGATCAAGATATTCCTACACCAATCTAAATATTCTTGAAGCCAGAGTTTCTCATCTAGGAATAGCTAGCCAAGCCGCCCTCGACTCTGATTCCTCCAGCAGCTCCATCAACCATCTCCGAAGATACCGAAAGAGCTCTTCAGAAGGTTCTTTCTGAATCTAGTCATCAAGCATAATCTCGCCTTAAACCTCTTAAGGACTTTCAAGCTTCATTCACTACTATCCTCAATAATATTTCCAATGAGATTTCATATCACAAAACTTCGGTTAAAGCATCACTTAAAGCCTTCTTTGAAACTCTGGGAAAACAACATGGTTATCAAATTAAGAGTCTATGTCATCATATTCTTCACTATCATAAAAACACTTTGGTCATGAAGAGTTTCTATTCCAAACTCTTGAATAACGTGCAACTACTGACAAAGTGGCCTCGTGAAGAATCACAGAAGCTGAATGAATATATGCAGAAGATTGGTGTTTTTCTTGACACTTCTAAGACTAACATTGGTGTCGATCTCCTCTCTAAAAATGTCACTAAATAATTTCTCAAAGTTTTCTCCAATATTGATGAAATATAAGTCAGGGTTCGTGAATGAGGTTGGGCCATCTTTCACGAAAGGGGGACAAGAAACCCACAACTCCCCGAATGATGATAATCAAAAGAAGATACCAGAAGGAGCAGTAATTCAAAACATATATGATGATGAAAAAACCTCAAAGAAACCTCCAACTCCTCTTATGTCTCCTTCTAATATTCTCAGTCCACCAAAGTCGCCTCCAAAATCTCCTCCTAAAGCTTCAACTCCTCCCAGAGATCTCGGTAAATCAAAAATAACTAAAGAAGTTGTTCCTGAGATAGAGCACATTTTCAATGATTATGAAGTTGATGAAAAGACAAGAAGGCAACTAGAGATAGAACAAGAACATCAAGATCATCTACTCGCAGCCCCCCTAAAAGAAAATTTTAATAATGAGAAAATTGTTCCTTCCTCTCCCTTCGAAAAAATTGATGTGGATCCACTATTTTGTCCTTGGAAATCCTTGATTCGAATGATTGAAGACAAGGACATTGCTCCCTTTGAAATTTATGATGCTCCTTCTAGTTCTAAATATGAAAAGGATCTTCCGTTCGCTCCAAGAAGGAATTACTTTCCAATCTATCCTGTTGTGGAAACCTTCAAACCTATGAGCGATTCTCTGTATGAAGAAAGACAAATATTGATTAACTTTTACTCCAAGCATCTGCAAAAGATCTATGGCATAAGATGGTCCAGAAGAGTCATAATCAAGGTCAAAGGCTTCAAGGCTCGTTCATTCAGAGGGGCTTCGTATTACTCCTATGATCTTCAAAGAACAAATAAAGTAGAATATTATCTCATGGAAGTAGACTTGCCCATCGCAAATACTGTTGGTCTCTTCTGCATTACCAAGGAACTAAATCGAAGGATCCCCTCAAAGGAAACAACCAAAGCAACTCTCATTCCCATTAGAACCTATCTCTAAAGAACAACACTTGAGATAGCAACAATTTATTTTGAGATAAACTCTTCAATCCATTTGGCTCACTTTGAAGAGATAGGCTCAAGCCATGAAGGAATTGAAGATCGAGAGTTTCGTATCACAGACAGTCTGGTACTTGGAATCATCTACTAGATAGATGGATTAGAATAAAAACAATTCTTCTGATAGAGTCAGAAACATCGATGCTCAAAATTGTTTCTAAAGAGGCTCAAGAAAGTTTCCCCTAAAACCCTTGAAGCCTATGTTGACATCAAGATGGAAGCTATGAAGCAGATTCAGTGGATGTTTGTTGTGCAAAGAACTTTTAAAATGGTAGTTGACTTCCTAAATGACACTTCAGAACTCTAAAAGAAAAGCAACTTCGGTCACTTAGGGGGAGATTGTTGAACCCAGAAGTGACCCTCTGCAGAATAACAACAATAAGTTGTTGGCCGAAGGTTGTCATGACTGAAGGCAAATGAAATTTGGAATGTGCATGTTCGAAAGGAGTTGTGAAGATCAGAAGAAGTTGACTTTTGTTTTAGTTATATAAGTTAATGTTTGTTAGATTGTAATGATTGTTGGTTAATGACAAGATTACTTAGTCATTTCATTATCTTTTGTCAGTAGGTATTTACCCTTTGTGCTATCGGATCATGTCAATAAAAGGGGAATCGGGTTGTGGTTCTCTTTACACCTTTTCAGGTATCTTACTAGACAATCTATCTCAATATAAGATTTTTCTTCGTTCATTACAATGTTCATTTATTTATGCTTCTCATCTTTCGTTATTGCTCTTTATATCAGTTGTTAAGTTATAACTTCCGCACTTACTTTATAGTCATTTAATTTAGAGCATTTTTCTGGGTTTTATGATATATATGTCTATATATATATATATATATATATATATATATATATATATATATATATATATATATATATATATATATAACAAAACATAATTATATATATGGTTAATGCTTTAAATAACTAAAGATATAGTTTTGTGATATTTATAAACAATAATAATTATTTTATCGTTTGTAAATACAACTGTCAAGATAGTCGTTAAATGTCATTTTTACTTACAAATGATATTTTACTGCTTTACTAACTTGTACATTATTTCGGTATTGTTGAATTTATATTGGGTAAAACCTGGTTTTTATCAAAATACAGTCGTTATGCTGCCTAATTTTTGTTACAAAACTTTTATTATAGTTTTTATACAAGAAATGAACAATATGTCTAGTAAAATGTATAACTAAATGTTTAGGACATGTTAACACACATTTTGAACGATTTGAACTGAACAAATAATCTAGAACAATTTGAACCGAACAAATGAATTAGAATGGTTTTAACTGAACAAATAAACTAGAAGTATTTGAACTGAACAAATGAACTAAAATGGTTTGAACTAAACAAATGAACTAGAACGATTTGAACTGGACAAATGAACTAGAATGGTGTGAACTGAACAAATGAACTAGAACGATTTGAACTGAATGAATGAATGATAAGTCTAGTAACTTTATAACTTAAATTTTAAGACGCGAAAGCACACTCTTTGGGAACTATTTAAACCCGGGTGTACTATATGAGTTGAACTCTTCATCAACTAAGAACAAAAACTTAGTAACGCCTCTGTGCTATAATTGTTAATCCTTAAGGAGTGAGGAATGTTTTTTTATAGATCTATACAAGTTGACCTTCATGCTTGTGGGTGCTAGCTACAACCTACGTCTGACGATTCAAAACAGGAGATAATGTTCATTCTCTAAATCTCTTTCATAAAATGGATGAAGAATTGGTGATATTCTCGGCATGCCACTGGTAGTTCCATAGCGATATTCTTGGTACGCCACTTATAGTGCCATACAAAGGCTTAATCATCATTAGCTCAGTTATAGGCTCATCATAGTCCTAGAGTACAATCTAAAAGCAATTAAATAAGTTGAAATATGACTTAAGTTAATCTATTGGGTACTTGTATGGATTTACAAGTTGGTTTGTATTTGATAAGCTTCGGTAAGAACTTTTAATCATATTATCAAAATGAAAGGAATCACGTAAACACATAAGTAGGGTGATTACTTATAGTCTCAAATTTTTATACTTTTTGGTCAGAGAAAGTAAACTTTTTATACAAGTTGGTCAACCAGTTAAAATGATATAAAAACACTTTTGGTTATAAAAGTAAAATGTGTCAAAACATGTAGAACTTACCAACATTATTGTTGACGTGTCTTTAAAACACATGTATTTTGAGTATCGTAAGAAGTTGGAAGAACATGCACACTGAAGACCTATATTTCGTAAATGATAGGCATGTGCTGTATGTTGATAATTTACTAACAGAAAATGACAATGTAATCTTTATTTCAATAATAATATAAGTTTACATTTTGTATTATAATATATATATATATATATATATATATATATATATATACACACAATAATTGTGATCCATGACTACGTCGCACAGCTCGGCGTTTCTGCCATCGGCCAGGGTTGTGACACACTAATACCCTAAGAGCAACATCGAAGCCCCTACTGAATGACATCGATAAAAAAGACCAACTCGCACCCGAATCGAACAACACTAAAGCAGGCAATAAGGTCACTAGGAATGTACCTAATAAAAAAATAGACATAAGCATGAAAATGAGATAAACTGAAACATAGATAGATATATACAAGTAACAACGTCAGGCGCCGCCTTGGGCTCCTCCACTATCAACAGATACACACGACCCCTGGCCTTCATGACCTCAACCTTACCCTGGGAACCATCCGTTTTGCGCAATATCATAGGGGTCGGTACTTGCAATGGCCTAGCAGCAAGAAAGGGTCAATTGACCTTCACATGGCCCACCTGATCATAATAATAAAAAACTCTCATACTATGATGTTGTTGTCAATCCCATGTATAATGAATCTCCTTTACACGCTTGTGGAACCCGATCCTTGACCAACAATAACCCTCGTTCACTTGTCGTACTTGTTATAAGTGCGGCCCTTCTGGACTCCAAATCGGGAATCAACAGGCTTGAACCACTTAGCTATTGGTTGGGTCTGAACTGGGGTCTGCCACTTCTCCTTCCTCTGTGTTTCCTGATCAAGGTCGTTGTCTTAATCAAAAATACCTCAAAAACCACTTGGTAGCTAGGGTAAGTAAGGGTTGAATCCATGATGAGTTTGTGGTCAAACTTTGTGTGATAGTAATCAATGAAAAAGAACTAATACTTGTAATTATCACGAAAAGGATTTAAACAAACATTAAATCGACAAGCTTGGAAATTTATTGACTAAAATGAAACTCTCGATGAGAAAACTAAGGTACTCCCAGTTCAGTTTTCAGACAGTTCAGATTCAAACACTTTCTTCCCTAAAGTCCTAGTTTAATTACTTAAATGCAATTGGGGTCTATGATCATGTAAAAGATAGTTATAGGTACATCATATGTTCTTTCAACTAGTTGTCTTACACCCTAGGTCTAATTAGATTAGTAACAATTAGTTAATTGGAAATAAAATGCCTTATGACTATCGATTACAATATCAAGATTCAATATCACAAGTTGGAATAATACACGTGGATTCAACCAAGTGTCTTTGTTCCTAAACTACTTGGAACAACCGGTGAATTGATAATGTACTATTTTAATTATGAAATCAAACAAATTCATACAATCCAATTTCAATCATTATCACCATAAGATCATCATATAAAACATAAAATAACAATTGAAAGTAACTAGAACCAAGTAATAATCAAGTGTGTTCATACAAAAGTCCTGGATATCCCCAAAAGTAACATAATGGTTTAGCCTTCCATTGAGTTCATAAAACCAATAACATGAATGAAATTGATAAATTGCATGCTAAAATCCATAGATAAACTTAAAATCATCAAATAATCATAACCTAATGATTGTCAAAGTATGAAACAATAAAACCTTGGGAAACAAGCAAGGAAATTCTAGTGTTGTAGTGGAGAGGATGAAGATCCTCGGTTGAACGGTCTTCAAATGTTGATTGCTTGTGAATTAGAAGAATTCTTGCCTTGAATCCGGATTGAAATGGAATAGAATTGCATTTGGAGATGTTTCTAAGGGTTTAAAAATGCAAGTCAAAGCTCTGATTTTCCGTCTTGGAAACCCCCAAATCGATGTCCCTATTTATATTGTGTAGCATAAAATAGTGAAATTGGGTGATGTGGGATGTTGTACATCCTTCAGGACGTTATTGACGTGATGTAAGTCGCCTAGGCGTCCTTCGTGCGTCTTTGCATTCTCTCGATCGTCCTTGATTTGTACAAAAAAAGTGCCTAAAATGGGTCGGCATCATTGGGGACATCCTTGACGCCTAGGAGGCATCCTTCGCAAGTTCAAGCATTTTCCGTAGCTCGTTGTTCCAAAACGAGACGCCCAAAAAACGTCTTGACGTCCTTGTTATCGTCTTTGACGTCATGTATGTCGCTGAAGGGTTTCTTTGTTTTCCTACTCTGCAAATCTGTTGAGATGCTGACCGATTTGACTATGGCATCCTTGGTGGTGTCATTGATGCCTCATCTACGTCCTTCATGTCCTGGGCATATTTTGGTGATTAAAACAACATAAGAAACAGAAACACAAAACATGGAATATGTGGAAAACATTTTCTAGTTTCTCAAACTTCTTTATTCATGTAAATCGGATCTCCATATCTTGACATATGATCAAAACACTGAAGAGTTATCAACTTTCCCAACAACATACTTGTTAACTTCCTTTTTGCTCATTTTCCTTCCAGGTTTCGCCCACTTTTAGATTATATAATTACCAGCACATAATGTTCAACATTCCATCAAATTAGTTCCATTCTTGAGCAATCACAAATTAATTCAACGAATTTAATATGATTTATTGTGTTATAAAAATATACCAATCAAACCTCCCCAACTTTATTCCAAACTCGTCCCAAGATTGGCTCGTAATAATAAGTGTAGTCTTA